TGTTTGGAAAAGAGTTTGATCCTCTAATTCTATTCCCTAGTCACCATTTGTCCACAGGACAAAAGAGTCAGGGTCTGATTTTGATCTTACAGGCACAGATTTTATACTCCATTGACTTCTGATTTGTAATGGTGTAAGTGGGTGGAGAAACAATCCCTCACTGTCTTACACAATTCATCTTAACTGGTTCTCTGCTCAGGGTTTATCAGAAGTGTTGTCAGCCAGCTCTGAGGTATGTTGACAGAGCAGTGTGAGAAGGTCTGGACTGTGTCTGTTTGTACTGTCTCATGCATACCAGTACTGTTTGATTCCTTACCTTTAAGAACATGAAATTAATATAGGTGTAAACACACAGAACTTAAAAAAAAAAATCAGTGGTTCTGTACTGTGATAGCCATTGTAGCATAAGCATTTTTCAGGCTTGTATTAGTTTCAATAGTAAAGATGGATGTATTTTTGGTTGTATCAGAATTATTTAGATTGGATAATTTTATAACTCTGTCCTCAAGTTATTTTACCCTTTTGCTGGGAGAAAAAGAAAATATTTATATTTTATTTTGTGCATATAGTAGATTATGCCACTAGAGACAGGAAGTGAAGAAAAACTTGTGAATTTCTTATAGGCTGTATTGTCAACAGGGTCTGCACAATGCCTTTGACCAATACTGTAGGCAGAAACTCTGTGGTGGCTCCCCTGCACTGGGACATTTGTTTTAGAGAGATAGACATATCTATGCCCGTACTCAAAAGACTTATGTTAATATAATATTAAGGTTATGAGTTCATATGCTCAAAATCCAGAAAATGAAAATGTTATGGTTCTCACAGTAATGTTAACTTGGCCACATTGCACATTTAACAACATACACTAACAGTATGATGGGTCTCCACACTGATGTATCTCAACAGAGACACTGTTGCTTGGGTGCTGAGGTCTTGGATGTTCAGCACAGCAAGCAGCAGCTGTTCAGTGCGAGCAAGGGCCTGTCTTTCACGCATTGGCGTACCAAGGGCTCTCTATAGTTCTGCTGTCTCAGTGTATCAAGGTAGCAGCATCAGGAAGCATTTCATACACTGATGCTCCTTTTCTCACTCAAGTTGTGGAAGAAGGGGAAGTGTTGCAGCTGAATTGCTTCAGGACTAAAGGTAGCAACTCTATTTCTGAGCCACTTTCTCCCTTTAGGAAACTTGATGTGATTTGGCAAAGGAAAGTTTCAGGTGGAGAGACCTGACTTCCTACCACATTCAGCTTTTAAACAATGATATGTATTAATGTTGGTGATGCATGTTCATGTCTGAATGTAGGAGGGGAATAGGGTGGCATGGTCATGATTGGGAATGTTGGGTGAGAGAGAAACATATTTTGGAATGGGCTATGGGGGAAAACATTAAGAATAGGGCTGTGAAGGGACCAGTTGGGGGGGGGGTGATGTGGATCATATATGGGGAGGCAAAATCAGGGCTCTGAGGCAGGACATGGGGAAGAGTGCTGCTGTGTGGGGGTCTAGTAGGAGGAACAGAGCTATATATGACAAACAGATTATAAGACCTCCATTTTGATAGCTGCCCAATGTGAGTAACTATCAGCATTGACATAGACTAGAGCTGGTCAGGAAATTACTTTTCCTATGAAAAAGTTTTACTAAAAGGAATTCCCTCCTCCCCCACTTTTGTTGAATTTTTAAAAATCTTTTGGATTTTTGTAAAAACAAAACAAAACCCCAAAACAAAAAACCCACAAACGTCCAAAACTGATAATTTTTTTCTGTTTTTTTTTTTAATAAACAAAAACTGTTTTGAGGTGCCAACAAGAAAAAAAATGGTATTCAGGTTTTTGGTTTTTCAATTAAAATCCATTTTTTTTATAAACTCCATTTTCAGATAAAAAATTATATTTTTGTTAGGCCATTTTCCATGGAAAAAATGTTTTGATGGAAACTTGTCAATTAAACTTGTAATGACATTGGAGACATAAAATCAAAACACAACAAACTTTTAAAAAAGCCACCCCCATAAACATTAAAAGTCAGGAACTCACTACTTAACTCCTCATCCCAACCTTGCAACTGACAGCCAGGATTTTGCTTTTGCTACATCACCTCACCTTCGCCCACCATCTATAAATACCAGTGTTGTCACTCTCTTGATTTCATCACGACTAATGGGCTTTTTGGGCTTCTGCTGGAGCCAGTCTGGGGATGACATGAGAAACTCCAGCCTTCAGAGATCTTTAGTTCTGCCCAGAAGCTTTTTTGGCTCTTTCTCCCTCCTTTCTGGCTGCTTTTCCCTCTTCCCTACCTCTTGGGGATGGGCATCCAATCAGAATAAAAGGTGGATTCTCTGTAACTTGAAGTCTTTTACATCAAGATTTGAGGACTCTAGTAACTCAGACAGAGGTTATGGGCCTATTATGGGAGTGGGTGGGTGAGGTTCTGTGGCTTGCGATGTGCGGGAAGGCTGACCAAACGCTGATGATAGTCTTTTCTGGTCTTAAAATTTATGAGTCTATGAGGGCTGCTCCAGGAGACAGATGGAGCTCTCTATCCCATAGGAGCCAACAGAAGTTTTAGGCTAGGGTAGAGGGAGCAGCCAACACTGTTCTCACAGGACAGAAGTGTGGAGTTGAAGAGACCCTGCAGCTGATTCCCTTCATTTCTTGGAGATGGGGATAAAGAGCACCTGGAACTGCCCCCCCAGCAAGGTCTGGGATGGCAGTGTGTCAAGAGCCCCTGGAGCTGCTCCCCATGCACACCAGGGAGAGCAGGACTGAAGCACCTTGACAGCTGTAGGAGGAACATGTGTGGGTGTGTTCCAGCTCCACACATAACATGCAGCCTTACTGACACCCACAAATGTCAATTACTAACAAAGTTTGGTATTGCATGTGTGTTTTTTTCCCATTACCTCACCTAAATAGCACTGCTACAGACATTACAGTAACTTCCTAACACGATCACAAGTTATTTCCACTTAGCAAATAATTCCCTCTCTTAATCTTCCAACACAACACAATTGACTAAAACCTTACACAATACACACTAATCTCCTGCTTCAACACAACACCAGTGCAACATTTTAAACAATTTGAAAACAATTCTAACCTTTCTACTCGGTTGGAGTCAAAGGTGGCAAATTTTGTGAAGAGAGGAGGGGTGTGTGTGTGTATGTGTGAGAGAGGGGAAATAAAATGGAGAAGACAAAACTATGGTGGTTGAGGACTTTAGTGATTTCAGGGTTTTTTATGTTTGTGTTGATGATATACTGTATGCACTTGAGCAGCCTTAATAAGTTTTTGTTTTGGGTACATATGTTATACACATATGCAGTGTATTTGTGTGTGTGTGTACAGTGCTGCTTTGTGAATGATTCATGAAACAGTATTTTCAATTACAGTTAATCTTTCTTTCCCCACAGTTATTCAGAAAAATCTTTGCTATTAGCTACTTTGTACATTTCCTGATGATGTTTTGCTGAAAATTATACAAAACATTTCAGCCTTTTGATGGTTCTGTGAGCTGTTTATATAATTTCCATTCTTTTCTTATAGTGCTCTTCTCACATGTGCAGTAAGTGTAGCACTTTCCCCATTAGCTGCTCACCTTAAATGATACAACGGAAAGTTGTATATGTACTACAATCTAGCCATGGCCCTAATCCTGGAAATATTTACACATGAGAAGAACTTTACAAACATGAGTAGTCCCATTGAGTTCAATATGGCTGTTTATGTGTATATTTGGAGGATTGGGTCCTTAGTCAACGGCCCCAATTACAATATAGTTAAAACAGAAGACCCGGTTGCAATATGGTTAAAATTTGTAGCAAGGAAATCTAATCATATTTTTATCATTAGTCTAAAGTGTGTTTAAAAATCATTTCAGTTCAGTGCATGTGCATGAAGTGTGATTTGCAAAAACTCAAAACTCACCCGAATCACAAGGCACCTCTATTAAATGAGTACTTCTTGACCAATTTCAACTTTCCACAGTTAGAGCAGTTTTGTAGCTAGAGCTGTTTCAAAAAAGTTCAAAAGAATTTTAAAAAAAATTAAAACAATAGGGAAAATGTATTTTTTTGACTATCCTCCTACTCTAATGCCTAAAGAATTTTTTGATCATAATTATAAAAAAAATTGTCAATCAGAGATGAAGATTAAAAAATATCAGCATGAAAGTTTCTGAAAGTTATGAAACAACTGAAAACAGGAGGTTAGAATGGAAACTCAACTATAGTGAAAAGAAAAGGAGTACTTGTGGCACCTTAGAGACTAACCAATTTATTGTCCAGTCTGCTGTTTCGACCTTCAGGAGGAGTCCATCTAGAATCCCTCTTTCTGTAGTGTTGGCAGGGAGACCTCTGTGGATTAGTATGTTGTAAGTACTCCTTTTCTTTTTGCGAATACAGACTAACACCGCTGTTCCTCTGAAACCTGTCAACTATAGTGGTCACTAGTCCCACAACCCCTAAGCCTACACACACAAAAGACCCTCCATTTTCTGTGCATGTTCTACGTACAGAAAAATATGTAAACCTTGTGTAAATACGCATCCACGGGTCCCAGTTGCTAAAGTAGCCACTATTTCTGGGTGCTTCAGTTTTGGGTGTGCAACTTGAGACAGGCAGGGCCTAATGTTTCAGAGGCTCCTAAATGGAGCTGTGGGTTTTCAGCACCTTTGCAAACCGGGTCCCTGCGGGGGAGGTCGGGGAGTTCCGAAGTGGGGCGCCCACAGCTAGTGGCCATTTGAAAACGCTGCCCACCGTCTGCAGCACGCCCCCCCCCCGCCCCGCAACGTCCAGTGTGGTACACCAGCAGTGTGACACTGTCTGTGGGCCCGGTGTGCAGCCACAGGCTATCTGTCGAGTAGCCAGTAAGGGGCGCTGGGCCGCAGGTTTGCGTTGCAGAGGGAGCCGGCTGCGGATCACCTGCAGCAGCGGGGGAGCCGAGCAGCTCCGCCCTCCCCCCCCCCGCAGTGAATCACATCCCTCCTCTTCCAGGCACTGGCACTGAGGAGATCGGGCAGCGCCGTCAACCCGCTGCGGAGAGAGAGCGAGACCGGCACAGCGGGGCTGGGGCTGCTGGCTCCGGGGCGCTCCCACTTCCCCCAGTCCGGCGCGGGGCCGCGCGTGAGCTTCTCCCCCCGCTGCAGCCCCGCCAGCCCGGGCACCGCCGCCGGGCGAGAGGGGGAGCCATGGCCGAAGGGGGCGAGGGCGAGGACGAGATACAGTTCCTGCGAACTGTAAGCACCGCGCGCTCCGGGGAGCTGTGGGGCGCGCGGGGGAGGGGGATAGGTGCGGTGGTGGTGGGGGGGGGCAGCCAAGGGGGAGCGTGCGCCTTGCACTGGTTTGAGGGGGGCTCCCTGAGCCGTGCCTATGCGGGGGCCGAGGGGTGCCTGGCGCGCGTGGGAAGGGTGGGGAAGAACCTGGCATGCCCGGAGCTGGGAGGGACTAGGGGGAGCTTGTGTCCTGCAAGCGTCGTGCCTATGCGGGGGCTGAGGGGGAGCTTGAGCCTTGTGCCCACGGTGCTGGGGAAGCCCCACTCCCCGGGGGGAGTTGGGGGGGGGGGCTGGGAGAGCCTTGCCGGGAATTCCCCTTCTGCCCCATCTCTCGCCGGCTCTCCCGGGCGCGCACACGCGCCGCGGCAGAAAACCAGAACGCGTCGCCGTGCACTGAGCGGTGTCGGGGTGCATGTGTGTGGGGGCAGCGGAGGGCTCGCTCCGGGGAGCCGCGGCCCGCCTTGCGTGGTGGTTGGAAGGAGAGAAGTGTTGGGGCTGGGCTGGGTGGCTGGCCGGGTGCCTGCGTGGGAATGCAGCGCGAGGGAGCAGCCATGGCTCTCAGCTGTGCGTTAGCAATGCGGTGACAATTAAAAGTAACGTGCGCGGTGGCTTTGGCTCGCCTGTGGTTACTCCTGGATTGAGCCCCGAGGCAGGGCAGGCTCTTGCTAGCGGACAATTGGAGAATGAGTGGTGCCGGGCAAGGCAGCATCACAGGCTCGGCAGCAACACCGTTTCCCCCTAAGTATCTTTCAGCGCTCCCCTTCCACCCTCTGACTTGTTCTGTACACTGCAGATACTAACCAAGCAGCAGTGCTCAGCCTCAAAGCTGCAACTGTAGTGCCTATTGCAAAAACAAAATGAAAAGCAGAAACACCCCCTGCTCACAAAAAAACCGAACAACTGCAGGCATTATCATCACTGAAGGTGGATTAGTACTTACATCTTTTCACAAACATCCTTTTTTTTCTTCTTTTGCTTTTTAAATGCAGTACATTTTAAAGTGCCCAAGCATTTCTTCCCTCAGTTTGGCTCTGTATTATGAATGCTGATTATGCTTATTTTGGACTATTTCTCATCAACCACTGCCTTTATTCACCTCATGCACCATCTCCCAAGTGCTATTTATACACGAAGTCCTAGCAAGTTTTACAAATAGGTGTTTTTGAATATTGCTATACACAAATATTTAGGTAGTTTTGAGAGCAGTGTAGACTTTGCATATGTGGAGACATTGAAACTGTATGGTGTAGCTTAAACTTCATTTTTCTTTTTATTTAGCACAGTCACATTTTGAAAACATTTTTGATTTGTGACAAGTAATGAGAAAAAGGTGCGTGGGAAAAAAGGAGAAACAACTCAAGTAGCTGGTATATGGCAGAGCATGTTTGTATCATTTTTCAACATTGTGAAGGCTGGTTTGGATAATTCTCTTATTACATTGTCTGCTTCAAACTGGATTCATTAAAAGAATAATCTACTCTAAATATTTTTTGAATCCATCAAAACATCCGGTCTTGTTGAGAGTACAATTGTTATGCAATGTTGAAAAAGGGAACACAAAACTGTCCACTTTTTTTCTTGTTAATATTATGTGGCATGTACTGCAGTCCTGGCAAATAGATTTGAGTTTGCTTTTCAGCTTTCTCTGAAAGAAGATATGGCTTCACAGTCTGTGAGAGTTTGGTTGTTGTTTCCTGGTGCTAAAATTGGTACAAATATTTTGGAAGAGCTGTGCACTTACAGGTTTACTGCAGGTTTAAATGTTAAGTTTAGCTCATGGAGGTGTTATCTGAAATGCTAAATGGGGAAATGGAAGCAATGTGCATGCTAATGTCACACTATGTACATATAGGGTAATGTTAAAAACTACAGACCCTGACAGGAGCAGCTCATTACGTAAAAGAACTCTTCTGATAACGGATGTCCTGCTGTCAATAAAGAGGCAATCCTAGCCTGGGATTATCCTTTAAAAATTCTTAGAATGTTGGCCTGGTAAGAAAATGACCTTGAAGAAGGTGGCAATTTGGAGAAGTGGGAAGTTTTTTGATGGAGGGATTTAGACATACAGATAAAAAGGGCATTAGACATTTCCTTTTTTTGTGAAGTTTTGAATTACCAATCTAAAATTGTTTCTATATGGTGACCTGCCTTAATCCTCAATCTACCCCTTTCCCTCCCCTGTACACTTGCGCTGGGAACATTTGTATGAAAAGAGATGGAAAACTCATTTGTTTTTTAAATACTAAACAGGCTTCACCCTAATGTCTTAGTCAATTGTTTGCAATTTTTGACTAACCTCCCAGGGCTCAATATTTCATTTGTAATACTTTCTACATGGGATTGATAAAATATTTAGTTTGCGAACTGAATATTTCCTGATAATGAATGCAATTTGGGTGTCTTTATTTTTAATCAATTGGTTATTAGGGATAGAGGGGTGTATTAATGGTTTGGTAGATAAAACATACCATGAAGGACCTAGTCTGTGATCCTCTGTAAAATGCTTTTCTGTGTTCAGGTAATTCCATAGCAGATAATAATCTATAAACCCCACTACACTTCAGTTAGCATTCTTTGCACACTGCTGTATACAATCACTGCTGCATTTTTAAAAGTCACTTTTTAGATGAAATTGGAAAGGTTCTGCAGCATAAATGAAGTTTTGCATTGGAATGTCAGTATCATATGTTAGACATTTTATATTTAAAGAGAGAAAATTGGGGTTTTAGTCTTTACAAGTACAGTTTTCCCACTGATTTTTTTTTAAAATTATTTTTTTACATTCAACTAGTAAATTGAGTTTGTGTGTGTCCCCTATATTGATCTATATTTTTGTGTTCCTTTCCTCTCTAGTCTCTCCTACTTCGTCTAATCTCCCTGTTTTTCTTTGTTTGCTACCTCTTCTTTGGACAAGATGGCTGCATGCATGGCTCCCTGCAAAACTTCTGCTGGTGTGGATTCTTGATTCCTTTTGCAACAAGTCTGATACATCCCATTTAGAGAGGAGAATGTAACCTTTTATTGCCTTGAGTCGCTGGAAGAGCAATGCTAAAATTGCTTTAGAATCCTTGAGACATGGACTAGAATGCTGCTTCTGTATCATTAGGCTAGTCCTCAGGGAAATGTTTTTTAGCCCTATGAATTTCACACCTCAGCATGGACGGTGTTCAGACTCATAACTTTGTTTAACATTCCATTTGGTAATAATCTTATATTAGATATATAATTTTCAGCCAGAAACAAACTCCTCTTTTCTGGCTCCCCTCATCAAATGCATGCATGCAGTTGCTTGTGCCCCGCATGGATTTGATGGGAGGGGGGAGAGCCCCCATCTGTATTAATCCTTGTTAATGTTAAGAAACAAAAGAGCATGCATAGTACAAAATAAACATCCACATGTCAGTCTTTACATTCAAGAATATAAACTGTTTATAGCTCATAACAGTTAGAAATAACATGAAATTCTTTACCAGAATGTATAATTTGTCTGAAATAAAAGTAATTCAGACTTCCAGGGAAGAAGAACAGGAAATCTTTTCATATTAACAATCAGACTCCTTCCATAATACATATGTGAAAAGGCTGATCTTCTTGGTACAAACCTGGACTAGAGTTGCCAGTTTTGGTTGGAGGTATTCGTGGAGGTTTTATCACATGACAAGCTTTAATTAAAGATTAATCTTTAATTCCTGGAGACTCCAGGACACTCCTGGAGGGTTGACAACCCTAACCTGGACTCTCTAAAACCATCATAGGAAAGACCTATGGAACAGAGCTATAAACTATCACTGGAACCAAGCTAATCTTAAACTTTCAAGAGGGCGCTAGGTAACTGTATCCTTTGTATTGGATAAAGATGCTTTCAGGCTTTCCAACGCCATCACCTCCTGAATTTGATTTAACCTGTGATGTAAACAAAGTTTGGGAGCAATCATATGTCTAAAGTAGGGGGTAATTATGTTGTAATTTAAATGTTCCCAAGGAGCCTCCCCAAAAGCAATAGGGATGACTTTGGTGGGATATCAAGTTCTGTAGCATTTTGTAAAGTTTGAGCTAGATTCTTCTTTCAGATATTTGTAACAGGACACAATTACAACACATGGAAACAAAACCAGCAGTGCTGCAACCCCTCTCAACAGGCTGCAAGGCAGCTAATATCAATATGCTTGTAATAACGGTGATACCTAAAAGAAAAAGATAACAACCCGAGCAAATCTCTTTTCTCAAGATCTAACGGAATCATCTCTTTGAAGAATTGCAGGGTTATGAACTTAGTGAGGGCATTTGTGCCACAATGTTTAAGCCGTAACATCTCTTTTCCTTCCAAGCACGTGCCCGGGGTGGATAATGGCATAGCGGATGGCCTGTCTTGTTTTCAGTTCAACAGATTGCGGAGGGCTTGTACCAGGCAGGAGCTAGTGACGAACTTGAGTAGATCCTGCCGGTGCTATGGAACCTTGGCATATCAGATTGGCGGTGGCATGCAGATCCTTGGCTCTGGGTACATGGCTCAGCTATGAAGAAAGTTGTAAAAAGTTCTTCCAATTTCAGGATCTGGAATGCTGGTCACTTATATGGCCCATCAGGAAGGGGTGGGTGCTGCAGTGCATGTCATTTGCAACCCAGTTGTAGGAGTCCTCAATGATCCTTGCATAGTGCAAGGGGCAACTGAGTTCATTTGGGAGGATGGGGGTTCACCTATCAAACTTGTGTGGGGGGGGCAGGTCATGTTTTGGGCTGCTATACAAAAGGCTATTGGAAGATGTTTGTTCTGACTGGGTTGTGGGGGTGGTGGCCAAGGTAATTGCTGGCACCTCCTTGTGGCGGATGTCAATGCAAGTACTCCATAGGGAAAGCATCCAGTGACCAGATAAATGGCCTGGTAAAGGACTTAAAAAGGAGGTGCTGGTTGAAGGGATGGAACAGTGGGGGATTTGGAGCTCCTATGGTTGGAACGGCAGGGA